TTCAGCACCGGCGGGCTCGGTTCGGCCCCGGCGGGCGCGGTTCAGCCCCGGCGGGCGCGGTTCAGCACGGGCGGGCTCGGTTCAGCACCGGCGGGCGCGGTTCAGCCCCGGCGGGCGCGGTTCAGCACCGGCGGGCGCGGTTCAGCACCGGCGGGCGCGGTTCAGCACCGGCGGGCGGACAGCGCCGCCAAACCCGGGATTAACGGGCTCGGGTCCCGCCCGCGGGGGTGGCGGGGGCGGGCGGGGACCCACCCGCGGCCTCTCTTGCAGCTCCGCGGCATGGAGGGGACGGAGAGGTGAGCAGAGCCGGCCCCGCGCCCTGCCCCGCGCCGCTCCTGGCAGCGCCCAGCCCGAGGGGGACCAGCGATGCCTCTGGGGATGAATAAGCATGGATCTCGCTCTWCTACCTCTCTGCCTCCGGACCCCACCGAGATCGTCAGGAGCAAGGCCTGCTCCCGGAGGGTCAAGCTCAACGTGGGGGGGTTGGCGCACGAGGTTCTCTGGCGGACCTTGGACAGGTTGCCGCGGACCAGGCTGGGCAAGCTCAGAGACTGCAACACGCACGACTCGCTCATGGAGATCTGCGATGACTACAACCTGGAGGAGAACGAGTACTTCTTCGACAGGCATCCCGGGGCATTCACCTCGATCTTGAACTTCTATCGCACGGGCAAGCTGCACATGATGGAGGAGATGTGCGCCTTGTCCTTCAGCCAGGAGCTGGACTACTGGGGCGTGGATGAGATCTACCTGGAGTCCTGCTGCCAGGCCCGCTACCACCAGAAGAAAGAGCAAATGAATGAGGAGCTCAAGAGAGAAGCAGAGACCCTGAGGGAAAGGGAAGGGGAGGAATTCGATAACACTTGCTGTGCTGAGAAAAGGAAAAAGCTCTGGGACCTCTTGGAGAAGCCCAACTCTTCCGTAGCGGCCAAGGTAAGAGCTCCACATCTCTATTGCCCGCTGGCTGGTGACTGGTGATGCTTTCCTGAGGTGTTGTCCTGCAGCCTTTGCTTTGGTGTTTGGGCACTTGTGGCTGGATGGATGCTGGAACTGAAGGCGAGAAAGGCCTTTCATATCCAAATGATTTGAAATGGTTTCTTTTGGTTTCTTTTTGGTAGGGATCTGATTTGAGTTTCCTGGGGCAGCCTAGGCTGCTCAGAGTGGGAGAAGCTCCTCTGAGCAGTGGGTCAGCRCACAAAGATTGCTGTGGCTGGACATTTTAGATTTGTTATCTGCTGGCCTGTGTTGGTGTGGTTTGTAATTGAGATTTCTTAGGGCCTGAAATCAATGTATCTTCTCCGCTTAACCAAACTGCCTTTCAGGAAACCAATTCTGGTTGAACTGCTAGACCCAGGTGCAGTGAGGAAATAATGCCTTCCATTCCAGGGCTTAGTTCTGGGGTTTTTTTGGTGGTGAAATGCATCTCCTGGTTATTTGTACCATGAGCTCCAGGCTGCATGTGTGCTAAAGCTGGTGTTTGAATTCCATGCTTTACCTGATTCCAGCCTGTTTCAGTGCTCCCTGTGCGGGTGATCAGCTCTGTCTCTGTCAAGAGCTGAAGCGCTGCTCACTCTGAACTTGGTTCCAGTGAACAGATCTGCTTGAAGGCATTTTGAAGATCCATGTTGGGAGAAACCAATGTCAGAATTGGCTCTGATAATTTAGCTGCCTCATGTTAGTCACATTTTCTTTAGTGAGGAAATCTCTGCGAACGCAGTGATTCAGTAACCATGGGGACAAAAGTGAAGGGGGAGAGGTTGAAAACTGTGGGATGAATAACTGAAAAGCATGAGAGACTGAGCACTAGGGACCAAAACTTGAATTTTTTATAGATCCATGCCCTCCCTGTRTGGCAGAGGAGTGGAAGGAGGCCCTGGCTGCCGCTGTGATGCACCTCCCTCTGTACAAACATCTGCAAACGCAGACCTTGGCTCCATCCCTTATAAACTCTGCCTTGGGTGGGCTACTGCTGAAAACAGACTTTTTTCTTTTTTTTCCTCTTCTCAAAGTGCTGCAGATCCTGAACCAAGAGCATGTGGACACTTTGGGGAAGGGATTTTGGGCAGTGTGGAGCAGCTCGTGTCGGCAGGGGCAGGGGAGGTTTGGTCCCCCTGCTGAACCCATTATCACTTTTTTAACACCAAGCAGAGCCCCAGAGTGGCTCTGTCTCTCCAGTGGCACAGATGACACTGTGATGAACACATTAATGATTTATAAGGCTCCTTTGGCATCGTCCTGCAATCCTGAAACACAGGCCTCAGGCTTTGCTGTCTGTGGCACTGACTCAAAATCCATTTGAGACTGTTGATGTTCATGATTTATTGTGGATGAGCAAGGGTCGTTCTTGCCAAATAAGTGTCTTTTGTGATTTATAAATGAAATACACTCTAGCTTCATTTTCTGAGAAAATTCTSAGAGTAAGTGCACTCGGCATTGCAGCTCTGGATTAATTGAGAGGGGATGGTAATGCATCATTACCCTCAGCATTTAAAGCTGCCATTCTGTGCCTTCCTTTCTGCAATGAAAGCGGTGCTGTGTGTTCTCAAACCWCAGATATTCCAGCAGTTCCCAAACGCAGATTCCCACTCATTTTGAGTGCAGCAGGGCAAGCAGGCCTGGTGAACAATTAGCTTAGGCAGGGACAGAAGCTCTGCTAAGCCTGCTCCTGATCCGATTTGCTCCCTGCTCTGGAAAGCCTTTCCCTCGTGCCAGAGTCTGCCCTTTGCTTTGATCACCTTCCTGAGAATTCAATCCAAATATTGAACAGGTTGGACTCGATCTCTGCTGGAAGGACACGGGAGGGGATGTGGCTCTGTCCCGTTATCTGAGCTGTATCTCCAGCTGTACCCAGCTCCCTTTCAGGCTGGGTTTGCTGAATTTGAGCCTCTCCCTGGCAGCTCCTGCCCAGCTTTGCYCAGCTTTGCTCACTGGAGCTCTTTGCAGAGCCCATGGGCCTCCAGAACCTTCTGTGGCCTCTCCTAATGCCCAATTCCATCTGCTTGGCCAGGTCTGGGAGTTCAGAATGTTCCTATGGAAAGGGAGCAGAGTGAAGTGTTGTGGGTTTAATGCTGTGCAAGTCCTCAAACCTCTGCTGGGAACTGTGAACTACTCTTGTTTATTTTTATTTTTCAGACTTGTGCTGCTCCATGTGAAGGGTTTTCTATGCCCCAAATACAAGAATGGCCACAAGTGCAGGTTGTCCCAGGCCAAACCAGGGATTTTGGGCAGCACTGGTTGTGTTTGAACATCTGCATAACCTGACCCCCCATAGCAGCTTCCTGCAGGGTGATACTGGACTGGATAAACAGAGAGAATTGGGTTCTATTTGTTTGGGTTTTGGAGTTTGCCTTTTATTATTCTCGGCTGGTTTTTGTTGCTTTGGGTTTTTGTGGCTCTTTAAAAATTCGTTATTAAAATGGGATGATATGTAAAGTACCCCAGGATGGAAACCAGCATTCAAATAAGAGAATAAGAATCCCTCAGACCTTAGTTTTTGTTGTTTCCTTATCCACTGGCGATTTACCCCTATCTTTTATTGCTCTGTCTGGTTTTTAAACCAACCTCCTCATGCAAGCAGGGTCTGATTCATGTGGGAGGCTTTGCCCTGTACAGACTGGAGAGATTCTCAGGGATTTCGCAATT